CTGAAAAAAAAAAAATGTTTTTTCTTTCGACATATTAAATTCCCAGAAGAAAAAAAATCAACAATGTTTCCTAAAGTTAAAATTTCAATTTAAAGTTTCACACTCTCAATGTCCCCAGTTCATATTAAAAAAAATAATAATAAAAAAATAAAAATGCATGGACCGCCGTTTGATTACTTATTTCTAAAAATTTTATATGGGGACGATCTTTAATAGGATCGCATGGTCCAATCCAAGGAAGAATCCAGGGGTCGAGTTCAGTTAGGACGGACCGTGAGCGTTGAAAGTTTATTATCGACGACTAACGTCCATAATAGCGGTGTTATTTATTAATATTTAATTAAATAATATTCAAAAAATCGAACGGATTAGAACTAGCAGAATTAAATACACCACTAGAACTAGGTACAAACTTTCATTTTGGATGAAAAAATCGTTCCATAATCTATAAAATGCTCTAATTTTATTTTTCAATTAAATAGGCAATATATATTAACAAAATGTCAATATTCAGTTTACAATTAAAGTTAATTAAACAAGCATTATTATATTAACAAAATCGAAATGATTTATGTGCTTATATCAATTTTATGTGCTTGTATGATTTCACTTTTTCACAATCGATTTTTTGTAAACGAAAAATGAAACATTTTATTAATTAAATAAAGTTTTGTTGAAAGATTCCTTATGACATAAAGGCCAATTTTTTTACAAATTGATGTATCATTAATTGATCAAACTCTCAAATCAATTGATTAGAAGGGAAAAGAAAAGAAAAAGAAAATCAAGAAGATGGATAAAGTACCAGTTAGCATGTTTCTACTTGCATTAAACTAATAAAATTGAACATTTATTTTTTTGTTACATTATGTGCTAAAAATACTAAGTGCCATGATGGTAAAGTGGTCAATATATTTAAGGAATGTAGTATGTTCGAATCAATTTCTTTGCATTTATTTTGGTAAAAATTGTTGAAATACAAAAATAATAAAAAAAATATTGCTTTTGAAGAATTTTGAACACTGGAATCCAATTTAATAGCGAAAGGGTTAACTAATTGAGCTATCAAATATATTAGTTATTAATATGAATTATCAAATATATAATCTAAATCCGCCCCTGGTCCAATCCGCCCTAACTTGCCACCACCTAAATCCGCCTCTGATCCAATCACAAAAAATACATCATTTCCATATATATACGCCCCAAGTCCAAAATTTCCCACTCCGAAAATCGTCGTGTGCAAATTTAGGGATTGTTTGATATATATTCTTCGAAAATAAATTTTGTAAGAAGTGATTTTTTTAAAAAAACTGTGTGGCCAAAAGATAAAAAATATATATATATAAATTTACGTACAATACTATTTTATCAAAAAAATATGTGGTTAAAAATGAATTTAAAAAAACATTAAAGAATCTGTACCCGTTTACCAATTGAGTTAATATCCAAACATGGTCCAAGTTAGGATCAGAACTAAAAATGTCGGGCCTTATGGGCCCATGTTATGACAACAATAGATACCGCCAGTGGCCCAGTGGTCGATTTGAGGCCCACTACCTTTCTGTTAGTTAGAAGTTAGATATTCACAACGGAGAGAGAGAGAGAGTGTGTGTGGTGTGACGTGGTTTTGTACTAATATTTAGTCCATGTTTAGTTTTTATATTTTTAAATTCATTTTTTACCATCTAATATTTGGAATTCACATTTTTATACACTTTTCAATCACATATTTTATTAAATTTTATCAAGAATCGTACTCCTTGGACTAACTTCTTCTAAAAACTCTTTTAACTAAAAGAAACTTTGATAAAATTAATCAAACGAATCAAAAACAGTTTTTGAATCTTAAAAATTTCTTTTGACTTTTCAAAAGTAATTTCAAATGGACCCTAAACATGCCCAATTGCTTGTAGTTTTTGGTAGTAGTTAGAATTGTATGGTCTTTAATTTATTTCAGGAATAATTACACAACACATATTATATTTTAAGATTCTATTGTTATTGTACATACTTTTTTTTTTTTTATAAATAATTACTTTTTTACAACCCACATAAACACAATCATACCAAAGTACAACTCTCTCGTAGATACGAGCTCACAGTACAAAAATAGAAGGCAACAGCGGAACCACAACCTCTTCTACTGAATCTAACCACCAATACAACATTGAGACCATCCACCTTCGACCCACTACATCTGTTCTGTCATTTTCTTTTTTCTCTTCATGGATAGAGTGGTGAGATGGAGAAAGGTGGTGGTGGTGGTGGTGGTGGTGGTGGTGGAAATAGGTGTCAATGGCTATGGTGGTCATGATGGAGGTGGTTGGTTGTGATAATGGTGGTGCAAATGAAGAGGTGATAATAACGGGTGGGGATGTTTGGAGACCACCCGCCACCAACTATTTCACTTGTTTCAACCCGAATGCATATCTAAAATCATATTCGAAATGATCGCAATTTGTTTGTACAACTTTTGTTTTTATTTGTGTTGGGAGTGGCGTTGATTGGCCTTCTTTTTGTGGTTTTGGTTTTTTAAATTAATTTTTGTGGTCAGTGTGAGAACTTGATTGAATATTGGTGTGGTGGTGGTAGTGATGGTGTTTGTGTTGTGGCTTATGATGAAAACACACGTAACATATTTTATTAGGAGCGGTGATGGCAGTAATGGTGTAGACAACGATGCAAATGGAATGGTTAAAAAGTGTGCAACATAAATTTACAAAATGTAAAACATTGTGTTGTATAACTTATCGCCAAAATAAAAAACAATATTTTGAGAATATTTAAAAATAATTATGAAATTATAAACTTTCTAAGAGTATGGTTAAAAATGAATTTTAAAAAAGAAGAATTTTTGAATTATAATAATGCTGGTTATTTATATATTACTTGGGTTTCTAGTTCGAAATTAAAAAATAAATAAATAAATAAATAAATAGAGAAAATGCTTATTCTTTTAAAGAAAAATTGTCCCTATCAGAAAGAGGATTTAGGGCTCAGTCTTTTCCACTCATTAATTAGGACCGTTAATGTCTCTTACAAAAAAAATACAAGAAAAGGACAAGTAGTTGGTTTTGTCAACAAAACGTCCCATCTATAAAGGCCAAAAAGTAACCTCCAGGACACATCTCCAAATGGTAAAAGAGGAGGGTGGAGAAATTCAACTTTACTTGAGGCTCTGCGTCAAGAGTTCGAATCCTGAAATATGGATTTGAAAATAGCTTACATCTCCTATATAAGCGATGAAAGAAGTCGTCTCATATGAAGAAACGTTGGTTTCAACAAGAGAATGAGCATCCGATGAGGCAAGAAGTAAACATTTTGGGAGTTTAGAAATAAGCATCTCGCAAAGTCAAAAAATATGCGTATGGTGATGTGGGAAATAAATATCCAAGAGGTAAGGAATAAACACCTCACAAAGTCATGAAATCTGTTTTTGATGATATTCAAAATAAATATTATGCAAGGTGAGAAATAAGTATCTCGCAAAGTCAAGTAATTTGTATCTGACAAGGCAGAGAACAAATATTCCGCGGAGCGAAAAATAAGTATATCAAAATGTAGTGTGAATTCGCCAAATAGTCATTAAACTTTGCTAACAGTTTTCATGTGGTCATCAAACTTTAAAAATCACCAATTCATCACTGTATTTTGCAAAAAGTTAGTGATCCCTGGAAACTTTTTGTAAAATTCAGTGATGAATGATGTAATTTTTAAAGTTCAATGACCACATGAAAATCTTTAATAGAGTTTAATAACCATTTGGGTAATTCACTTCAAAATGTGAAATAATCTATATATAACGAGGCGGGAAATAAGAATCTCGTAAAGTTAATGAATCATATATGGCAAGAGGATGACTATTTATACTCTGACGATTAAGTCAACTATTGGAATGAAATACAATAAGTGCAAGAGACAATTTGACTAGGGCTTAGAAAAGATATGCCTTGTGTGCATAATGAACTCACAAAAATTTACATGGAGTAGAATGGGCCAAGAGGGAGTAAGTGAATCAGGCCCAAGCTCAAATCTAAGAAGGGATTGTTTGATTTGATCGATGTAATTTAATTGATATTCAACAAATGTATAACTTCTTCCGGCACGTGCATGCCAAATAGTTTGAATATAGAGCTATGCTACAATGATAAAAGGAGTTTACAAAGTTAGGTTACAAAATTAAATCTACACCAATCATTTCAAAAACAGATTTTTAAATCATTTGAAATCAAGGGTCCAAATTTTGCTAACATACTTTGACACTCCACTTTTATACACCAACTTTGTAGGAGTAGAATTATTCTTATACATATACGAGATAGATTAATCTATTGACCAAGAAACATAGCCCTTCTTTGAGCCTCATTTTTTTTTAAATGCATTTTTCAGTAGAGTTATGGCTCCTGTTTGGCCCCCATTGAAACTCATCAATTTAATTTAAATTTTTTCTCGCTTATTTTCAATCACACAATTTTTAATAAAATAATATTACATACAAATTGAAAAATTTTCATTCTTTCACAATCATCCATTTTTTAAAAAAAATATTATTCCCCTATTATAAATCCAAATAATGGGGGCCAAACAGGGTTTGATCTAATTTTAACCACATATTATTCAATAAAATAATATTAGACTAAAATTCAAAAAAAAAATTATTTTTTAACCACACATTTTCTATCAATACACCATTCAAAAAATATATATACTTTTTTTAAGAGAAAAATGGTACTCAAACAGGCTTATAATTTTAAACTGACCCTAAATATACTCTAATTCAATGCAATCCATGGCCGGATTGTCAAATGAATTCGACTTTACCAACTATTTATCATTAAAAAATGCTAACATCTAAGTTTTTCTCAAACAAATCACAAACAAGGCAAGAATATTACCTTTCTTTAATTAAATTAAGAAAAATAATTTCGAAGTAAATTCCACCTTTTTTTTTTTTTTTTTTTTGAGTCACGGGCGGCGAATTTTAATTTTTCCCTGAATTAAAAATCCTCCCTCTCTCACTTGGAACTGTCCTTCCGTGTTCATCTCGCGTTTCAGTACGCGTATTTAGAGGGAAAGAGAAATCAAAGAAACTAGAAGAGAGAGAAAGGAAGAGCATTGGACAACACTGTTTTTGGAGAGAGAAACAAGTTCCCTTTTTGAAATTTGTTAGGTGTGGATTTGGATTAATCATTAATTCAGTTTTTTTGGCAGTATCGTTAAGGATCGTTGATTTAGGAACTGGGTTTTTACTTTATCCGATCTTGAAGGCGTTTTTGAGCGGAATTCTGCGATGAATTGGTTATTTCTTCACTGAATGAGCGAATTTTGACCGGTAAACGGAGATGAAGATGTTGACCTTCGAAATAATTTGGTTGTGATGTAATATGGAAGTGTTGTTTGTTCGCACATATATAGAAGATGTCGCTTTACATTGGTCGCGGGGCTTCAAAGGTTCGTCTCTTCTCTCTTCACTCTCTCTTTCCATGTAAATGCTAAATTAGGTTTCTGCTTTTCAGGAAAAAAGAAGTGTTCTTATTTTTCTTTTTTTGTTGTTTTGTTAGAATTATTTATTGATGTATTATTGTTGTTTTTGTGATGAGAAGTTATGGAAGAGATTTTGTGCGGAGACTACGACAGAAATTAATCTTCTTGCATTGAACTGGAGGTATATTTTAGGGGGTCTCATCTGTCAGGTTTGTATGTATGTTTATTCTTGCATTGATCAATTTCTTCTTGAGTTCAATTCTTTATGTTTCTATTTCATTTTCCAACTTTTGACTTCAGAGAAAAGTTGTGCTTCTTAGATTTAAGTTCCGGGACATGTATTTTGTGCATGCTCAGTTCTTCAAGATGATGCTGCTGAACTTGACATTTTTTTTTCAATTTATTCTGGTTGGAGGACAACATTATATGTGAGTTATTGTGGATACTGCTTTTGAATCATGGTGACTTGGTGTTTTCATTGAACCAAATTTGGCAAAATTTATGAACGTAATGATTAAATTGCTAATTCTGTTTCCGTTATAGCAGCTGTTTCTGCTATTTATTGCTTATAAAACCTCAGATTCACTCTATTCTGTACCTTGGGCTGTGTTTGTGTATAATCGTAGTTGGTTTCATGAAAGTCCCTTTCCACTGTGCAGTTTTAGTATCTTCTTTAAGTGGATCAATCTTATTGTTTCCTAACTGGTTCATTGATTATTAATTCTATTTGGACTTTCCCTTTGATGAAAGACTTCTTTAAACAAAGTCAGTGTTATGCTGGAATTTAAGTTTAGTTTTGTGTTAATCCAAAATTTATCAGTTTTTCTTCTTTTTGTTGGCTTTTCTTCCTGCTTATATGCTGTTCTTGATTTCTAATTTGTAACATGTCCGTTTATCAGTACATCCATGGACTGGCTGCTCGAGGTGTTCATTATATACATCGGCCAGGACCCATACTCCAGGATGCCGGTTTCTTTCTTCTTCCCGTAAGAAAACTATGTTTTTGTACTTTATGTTGCTTACTAATAATAATAGATGCTTACTAACTCTCAGAGAACTTTACTCATTTATAAACTTCTTATTTGCAGGAGCTCGGAGAAGACAAAGCTTATATAAGTGAAACTGTATTTACCTGCGTGTTTCTACTTTTTGTCTTGGTGAGTTGTCCTTTGGTTTTGAGTATTCTGATTATCATTTTGTGAAGATCACAATCTTTTGTATTTGTAAGTATGGTTGATGTTCTGTTGCAGTGGACTTTCCATCCCTTTGTTTTCAAGAGCAAGAAGATTTACACAGTTCTGATATGGTGCAGGGTCCTGGCATTCCTAGTTGTGAGCACTGATTTTCTTTGTTTCTAGAATATTATTTGTATGTGAATCCGGAGTTGGTTGGAGGGGAAAAAAATACTGGATGTTTTACTGCTTTTCACCCTGGATGATCATATTTATGAATTTATTTTAATGTCATGGGTTATCTATTAGTAAATCATTTGAATTTTGAATAAGTATATGGATGCTAATCCAACCTTCACATTTATGAAAGATAGATTTTACTATAACAAAATTTGCAGCATCATTTAATGTATTTTGTAATATAACTCATTTTTAACATTGTCATAATAGTTTCCTCTTTATATGTTACTGCAGGCTTGTCAAATTCTTCGGGTAATAACTTTTTATTCGACTCAACTCCCTGGTTCAAACTATCATTGTCGCGAGGTACAAAATTTCAGTTTTTGATGATCTTAAGTTTTCTTTGAAGAAATTTTGCATAATTGTTTTATCCCTGGAATCTCAAAGTTCGCTGGACAATTTAGCAGTGTAAATCTGTTCCTTATGATATAGGGCTCAAAGCTTGCCAGGCTGCCACGTCCCAATAGCGTGTTAGAAGTTCTATTAATTGGTGATATGTGCCTTATTTAAACCCTTTTGTCTAGTTTTATAAATGTGTGTGTTTTTTTTTCCCTTTTTTTTATGCACCCTTAATTTTTTATGATTGTGCAGTTCCTAGTGGTGTGCTTTATGGTTGTGGTGATTTGATATTTTCATCTCACGTGATTTTCTCTCTAGTCTTTGTGCGGACATACCATAAATATGGCACCCAGAGGTAATAGCAAAATGCACCTCTTATTAGATTTTGTATGTGGAAGTAATTATGACGCACATAATAAGGGGGAAGGAAGATATTGAAGTAATTCTAGAAATAAATTACTTATGCCCGAACTGCTTGTCCCCATAGTTGAAATAAAATCTCAGCAATTTGAGGACATTTTTTAAACAAGGCCTTGTACTCGGGATGTGGAAGTTTGAAGCATTATGTGTTTATGAGAAGTTCAGTAAATGGATTTTTGGGAGTTCAATCTCTCTTCACGTGAACAGAACTTTAGTATGTACAAATTTATTTGTAATAGTAGAGGTAAATCCTGGGGACAAGGAAGAGAGAGGGAATATAATCTTAATTTCGAGTTAAATTGAATTGAAACCCCATTATGTCCATGGTTCTATGAAGTTGACATATTTATTGGCATGATATTGCAGGTTTGTAAAGCAGTGTGCTTGGTTAACTGTTGTGATCCAAAGCTTGTTGATCATTGCATCCCGTAAGCACTACACAGTTGATGTCGTTGTGGCATGGTAAAGCATTTCACTTCCAATTATATAGCTTGTAGTTTATAATATGGTCCCACGGTCTGATGTACTTCCAAACACGTGATCGTGTTACAGGTATACGGTTAACTTGGTGGTGTTCTATATCGACAAAAAGTTGCCAGGTCAGCATTTGTTTATCATCTCTAGGGCCAAATATCCGCTTTAATATTCATGTTTTGACTTGGGTTCTATAATCTATTTTTATAGAACTGCCTGATCGCTCTAGCGGACCTGCAACAATGTTGCTTCCATTGAGCAAGGATGGTAGGACAAAGGAAGAAAATCAGAGACTCTTGAATGGAAATTCCGGAGATCAGTCTGACAAGGTCATTTTATTTTTATTTTTTTCTTTAAATTTTTGATTGCAAACATTCTTTTATTAGCCAATGGCATAGGTTCTTAAATTTGCTTTTCACCAAAATTTCCAGAGGCCAAGAATTCAAATCAACGGCAAGATCATGGAAGATGGAAATGCTGAAGCATTGGTTAATGGTGTATAGACAATGTAAAGGTGACTATATTACGACTATTAAAATAGCTACCGGGTATTCCTCACTTGTAATCTAGATAAGTCTAGGTTATGCTTTTAGACGTTTTATAGTCCTGCCCGGATGGACTGGAACCTGTCGTCACATACACCATAGTGTATTTTCTCATCAATCATTCTTCATCTTCGACTCTTCTTCAACTCTCGCTAATTTTGGAGACCACATCTATCAGCATATGCTTTCCTGGACATAGTTATAGTCTATAGAGAAGTTATTGTCCTTGTACATAAAGCTTTTAGTTACGTTTGTGTTCTGTTCTCTAGAAATGAGGGATTTTTTGTTGCTGGAATTAATTGGCATCTGCATCTTTCATCACATGACTTGAGAACAGAGGGTACCACCCCATAGGTGCTGGACTTTCAAGTGTAGCCTTACTTTAGTATAGAATGAAGAAAAATTGGCACCAGACCTATCTGCTACAAGAACATAATACGCTAATATCCCACTTATATGGAATCAATTCCGATTTATGTCGAAAGTGTAAGTACTTCGGAGCATCTCCAAGTCGTTCTATGAGTTACTATTTAGATGAGCTCTGGGTATTATCTATTTTTATTCATTTCAACTTGATGGAGTTCCAATCTTATTTTTTCATTTTATTCAATGTAAGTTCTTGTGTGATTAAGCAATCTATGAGTGCATTGAAGATGCTCTTGCATGAGATTATATTCAACAAATATAATAAGTCAATTAACAAATTTAGATTTTTATGCAGTTCAATTCATAATTAAATCATCAATAAGAAAATCATGTGTGGGACCAAACGAAATACGCCAAATCCAAATCTAGATAGGATTAGAGACAAAACGAACAAATTAATCCTCAAATAATTTGACGCCTAACACTTATATTTTCATCAGAATGATTTGTCCCCATGCTCATACTTCTCTTTCCACCTTGATTATGAATATTTTTCACCAACTCCACCATCTTTCCACGTTCAAAAATAGACTGATTGATGTTCATCCAAAGGGAGCAGACCAACATAAAAATCTTCGAGATGATTGTAATTTCATACGACAACAGCATTTCCGCTTGTTTTATTCATCGATTAAGTTAAAGATATATTGAGTCGAGCGATCATTCTCTAAAGCGATTTTAAGATCGTACCATTGGATAGATCATTGACTTCCTCTAAGAGTCAGTATCATAGCCAAAACTACGACATATGATCAACATGCATTATGATCATGATCTCAACTCACACTACAACATTGCAACAACATATCGAGAAACTTTCAGACTATATTAAGTAGGAATTCCATCAGCAATGAAAACAATTTTGCTTCAGGTAATTATATTTACACAATTTCTATATTTTATTTATTACATGATGTTTTAATGTTATATAAAGTTTTCAATCTTTGTTGATCATATAACATTTATGTCCTCAACTTTTTCTCGTCACATTCTTATTCTCAACCTTTTGTTAGTTAGCACATTTATGATGATAACCATGTCCGTCCAAATGTCCATTGAGAGAGCTAACACGACTTATTTGCACATAACATTTAAAAAAAATAACAAATAATACAAAAATGCAAGAAAATGTTT